GGGGGGTTCAGGGGGGTGTCCTGGAGAGGGACAGCTTCCTGTCACCCTACAACCTGTCCTAATGGATGCCTCCTGGCCCATAGGCCGCTGTGGCCAGTACACCTGGTGCCTTTGACATAAAGCCCTGGGCTTCATCATCTAGGGGCCCAGTGGTACCATTTCACAGAGGAGATGGGGACACAGAAGAGAGGAGGCTTGTCCCCGTCACTAGGCTACTGAGGTGGTCACTTCCCAATGCCCATCCAGGCTGAGAGCTCCAAGGAACATCGCGGAAGCTGCTGGTGCAGTGGGCAGCCCCAGAGCAGCCCTTGCCCCACCCTGAGGCCATGTGGGCACTGGACATATATTTATAAACGGGATTCCCTGCATCCAGGGGCCTCTATTCTGGGAGGGACACATATAAAACTAAAATAAATTCTTTACAATGTAATGCCTGTTCTGATATGTTCTTGAAAGAAAAATCATTAGTATTTGGGGGTACAGGTGTTGTGAGTCAGAGGAGGGGAAGGTAACTCGGATGAGGTCAGGGAGCAGGAAGGAGCTCCCTGAGGAGCAGACAGGTGCCCATTGGAGGCAATTCCGGGTTCGATTCTGGTCAAGGGCACGTACCTCGGTTGCAGGCTCCTCTCCGGCCCGGGCTCATGCAGAAGGCAACCAATCGTGTTTCTCTCACATAGATATTTCTGCCTTTCCCTCTCTCTTTCGCTCTTTAAAAATCAATGGGAAAATATCCTTGGGTGAGGATTAAAAAAAAAAATACAACTAAAGTAACAGAACAACCATCATTCAGAAATGCCTGAAATCTGACTGAATAAAGTCATGCAACTAGGGAATTAAAGAAGAAAACATATTGAGACAGGAAGAAGGGGCAGAAGCGCAGAATGGGCTAGTCTGAGACCCTCATGTGGTGTTTTTGTTTTGTTTTTTAATTCAGAGGGATATCTTGGCTGTGGAGGCCTCCTATGAGGAGCATGGGGTCCCATCCCCATGGCAGACCCCTCAGCCCAGGCTTCCAGTACTGGAAAGAGAAGTCCCCATAACTTGGGGCTATAAGAACCAGCAGGGATTGTGGCTGAGTGACACAAAGGCTTCTGAAGACCAGACAGTTGGGGGTCATAATAGCCATAGCCTTGCAGGGTCTTTGCGGAATAAGTCACTGAATAGGCAAGCAGTGCTGGGGCTTAGCACACAGGGGGCGCTGCAGAGCTGTGGTGGTGCCATCACAGGTCCTCCTCTCCCTGCAGGGTTGGCTCCTGAGAAGGCGAAAGATGGCAAGGCCTACCCTCCATCCTTTTATGGCAATGGCCCCGGCTTCGCAGTCAGCGGGGGCTCCCGGTCAGATGTCCGTGACAACCAGAGCAGTGAGTGCGCCGGTGGGTGGGCGGGCAGGGGGAACTCGCAGGAGGGTGCCTACCATACCTGATTCCCCATTGTCTGTTCAGGGGACCCCAACTACAAGCAGCAGGCGGCCGTGCCCCTATCGTCGGAGACCCACGCTGGTGAGGACGTGGCGGTGTTCGCGCGTGGCCCGCAGGCGCACCTGATGCACGGTGTGCAGGAGCAGAGCATGGTGGCGCATGTCATGGCCTTCGCCGCCTGCCTGGAGCCCTACACCGCCTGCGGCCTGGAGCCCCCTCCCAGCACCAGCATCCCCGACGCTGCGCACCCAGGACTGTCCACAGGCCCCTCGCTGGCTTTGGTGATTGGGGCACTGTGGCTGATACTGCTGGGCTGAGTGGTGCCCTGACCACTCCCTTAGGCCCCCATCCGATGTCAGCAGAACCCCTGCCCAAAGCCTCCAGACCCAGGACCCACCTCAGGCCTCTGCCTTCTGACCTTTACCTGTTGGCAATAAATGAGCCTCAGCTGGTGCAGCGCTGCCCCCGCCCCACCCTGCGGGCCTGATGGTGGGGCGCCCTAGAGGCTGAGGCAGTGGCTTTCCTGCCGCACCCACTATCCTCCTAGGTTGCTCTGGATTCCCCGACACCCCGCCCCAAACTGGGTGGACTGAGACTTGAGCAATGTCCAGGCGCCCTGATAACAGTGGCTTCCTGTCACCCTGCAACTGGCCCCGAGATCACCTTGTTGATGGAGGAGTCACTTGGGGGAGGGGGACCTATGGGAGGGTGGGGTGTGCTTCGACAGAATCACTGGGCCTGGGCCTGGGCCTGGGCCTGGTACCATTACACAGAGGAATAGATAGAGACACAGAAAAGCGTCCCAAGCCACTCCCAATGCCCTTTCGGACTAGGAGAGCCAAGAAGCTTCGGGAAGCCCCAGAGCAGCCTTGGCCCCCACCCTGAGCCGTATGGGCACTGGGCATAGATTGGTGACCAGGAGATGCCCTGCCCTCCAGGGACCTCTATTCTGGGAGGGACATAGGAATAGTCAACTAAACTGTTATACAACGTATGCCAATGCTGATATGTTCTAGAAAGAAATATCATTAGCACGTGGGGCCACAGAATGTGTGTGTGAGTCAGGGGAGGGGAAAGGTAACGCAGATCAGGAGGTCAGGGGCCAGGGAGGGGCTCCCTGAGGAGCCGCCAGGTGTGCCCGGACTGGAGGCAGGAGGGCTTGAGCAATGCTGAAACAACAGCCTTAGAGCATCAGCCTGCAGACCAAAGGGTTCCGGGTTCGATTCTGGTCAAGGGCACGTACCTCGGTTGCAGGCTCCTCTCCAGCCCGGGCTCATGCAGAAGGCAACCAATCGTGTTTCTCTCACATAGATATTTCTGCCTTTCCCTCTCTCTTTCGCTCTCTAAAAATCAATGGGAAAATATCCTTGGGTGAGGATTAAAAAAAAAAATACAACTAAAGTAACAGAACAACCATCATTCAGAAATGCCTGAAATCTGACTGAATAAAGTCATGCAACTAGGGAATTAAAGAAGAAAACATATTGAGACAGGAAGAAGGGGCAGAAGCGCAGAATGGGCTAGTCTGAGACCCTCATGTGGTGTTTTTGTTTTGTTTTTTAATTCAGAGGGATATCTTGGCTGTGGAGGCCTCCTATGAGGAGCATGGGGTCCCATCCCCATGGCAGACCCCTCAGCCCAGGCTTCCAGTACTGGAAAGAGAAGTCCCCATAACTTGGGGCTATAAGAACCAGCAGGGATTGTAGCTGAGTGACACAAAGGCTTCTGAAGACCAGACAGTTTCTCTTAAAGGGCCAGCACACAGACTTACTCAGACTCAGTCCCTCTGAGCTCCGGCGCTGGCTGGGGCAGCAGCTTGAAAGGATCCAGTGACATACAGGGAGGAACTAAAGGGGCGCTGCAGAGCTGTGGTGGTGCCATCACAGGTCCTCCTCTCCCTGCAGGGTTGGCTCCTGAGAAGGCGAAAGATGGCAAGGCCTACACCTCCATCCTTTATGGCAATGGCCCCGGCTTCGCAGTCAGCGGGGGCTCCCGGTCAGATGTCCGTGACAACCAGAGCAGTGAGTGCGCCGGTGGGTGGGCGGGCAGGGGGAACTCGCAGGAGGGTGCCTACCATACCTGATTCCCCATTGTCTGTTCAGGGGACCCCAACTACAAGCAGCAGGCGGCCGTGCCCCTATCGTCGGAGACCCACGCTGGTGAGGACGTGGCGGTGTTCGCGCGTGGCCTCCCAGACAAAAGTGCTCACAGAGGTCATTGTTCCTACGCTGAAACCTCTCCCTGACACAGAGCTGATTGGCAGGTGCCATATCTGAGCCTCCATCAACCTGGCTCACGCTTTGCCCTGCCTTGGTGATTCCCTGAGATTCCACCTTACACAATTTGCAGCACCACTCAAGCCACATGGCCTTCGCCGCCTGCCTGGAGCCCTACACCGCCTGCGGCCTGACACAGCCTGCTGAGCCCTCGGAGCCCTCGGAGCCCTCGGCAGGCCCCTCAGCAGGCCCTTCACTGGTTTTGCTGACTGGGGCGCTGCTGCTGCTGCTGCTCGGGGGGGACCATTAAGCCCTGACTGCCCCACCCCTCACCTGAGGGCCCACCTCCCCCAGGGGCCCTACACCAATTCTGGGCCACTTACTGCCAGTACTGAATCCCCCTCACCGCCCCCAAGCTTCCCAGGGCCTGACCTTTACCCTGCGGTGCACACTGCCCCCACTCGGCCACCTTGGGACTGGGCACCCTGGAGCTGAGGTGGTGGCTTCCTGAAGCTCCCCAGGTTCTCCCAGCTGCTCAGGACTCCCAGCCCCGCAACCTTGACTGCCAAGGAAGTTTTGTAGCACCCTGGGGACCTGAGGACTCTGGCACATGGGGGGGTTCAGGGGGGTGTCCTGGAGAGGGACAGCTTCCTGTCACCCTACAACCTGTCCTAATGGATGCCTCCTGGCCCATAGGCCGCTGTGGCCAGTACACCTGGTGCCTTTGACATAAAGCCCTGGGCTTCATCATCTAGGGGCCCAGTGGTACCATTTCACAGAGGAGATGGGGACACAGAAGAGAGGAGGCTTGTCCCCGTCACTAGGCTACTGAGGTGGTCACTTCCCAATGCCCATCCAGGCTGAGAGCTCCAAGGAACATCGCGGAAGCTGCTGGCGCAGCGGGCAGCCCCAGAGCAGCCCTTGCCCCACCCTGAGGCCATGTGGGCACTGGACATATATTTATAAACGGGATTCCCTGCATCCAGGGGCCTCTATTCTGGGAGGGACACATATAAAACTAAAATAAATTCTTTACAATGTAATGCCTGTTCTGATATGTTCTTGAAAGAAAAATCATTAGTATTTGGGGGTACAGAGTGTGTGAGTCAGAGGAGGGGAAGGTAACTCGGATGAGGTCAGGGAGCAGGAAGGAGCTCCCTGAGGAGCAGACAGGTGCCCAAGATTGGAGGCAAGAGGGCTTCCGCAATGCTAGCAAGGGTCCTGAGGCAGCAAGTGACTTTGAGGCCAAGAGCTGGGTCAAAGATGGGGGGAAATGAGGGATAAGGAGAAATGGGGAAAGAGCTCGAACTTCATCCAGAGTGTGGCTTTGAGCAGGGATATAACATGACTTTTTTTGAAAATATCAACCTGGGCATATGTGGGGAGGGACCAAGATGGTGGCATAGGTAAATATGGTACTTGCTTCTTCCCACAACCACATCAAAATACAACTAAGCCCTAGCCGGTTTGGCTCAGTGGCTAGAGCATCAGCCTGCAGACCAAAGGGTTCCAGGTTCGATTCTGGTCAAGGGCACGTACCTCGGTTGCAGGCTCCTCTCCGGCCCGGGCTCATGCAGAAGGCAACCAATCGTGTTTCTCTCACATAGATATTTCTGCCTTTCCCTCTCTCTTTCGCTCTTTAAAAATCAATGGGAAAATATCCTTGGGTGAGGATTAAAAAAAAAAATACAACTAAAGTAACAGAACAACCATCATTCAGAAATGCCTGAAATCTGACTGAATAAAGTCATGCAACTAGGGAATTAAAGAAGAAAACATATTGAGACAGGAAGAAGGGGCAGAAGCGCAGAATGGGCTAGTCTGAGACCCTCATGTGGTGTTTTTGTTTTGTTTTTTAATTCAGAGGGATATCTTGGCTGTGGAGGCCTCCTATGAGGAGCATGGGGTCCCATCCCCATGGCAGACCCCTCAGCCCAGGCTTCCAGTACTGGAAAGAGAAGTCCCCATAACTTGGGGCTATAAGAACCAGCAGGGATTGTGGCTGAGTGACACAAAGGCTTCTGAAGACCAGACAGTTTCTCTTAAAGGGCCAGCACACAGACTTACTCAGACTCAGTCCCTCTGAGCTCCGGCGCTGGCTGGGGCAGCAGCTTGAAAGGATCCAGTGACATACAGGGAGGAACTAAATTGTCTGGCTTCAGGGCAAGAACTAGGGCAGTGATGGAGAACCTTTTGAGCTTGGCGTGTCAGCATTTTGAAAAACCCTGACTTAACTCTGGTGCCGTGTCACATATAGAAATTTTTTGATATTTGCAACCATAGTAAAACAAAGATGTATATTTTTGATATTTATTTTATATACTTAAATGCCATTTAACAAAGAAAAATCAACCAAAAAAATGAGTTCGCGCGTCACCTCTGACACGCGTGTCATAGGTTCGCCATCACTGAACTAGGGGGCAGCTTTCTCCCAGACAAAAGTGCTCACAGAGGTCATTGTTCCTACGCTGAAACCTCTCCCTGACACAGAGCTGATTGGCAGGTGCCATATCTGAGCCTCCATCAACCTGGCTCACGCTTTGCCCTGCCTTGGTGATTCCCTGAGATTCCACCTTACACAATTTGCAGCACCACTCAAGCCACTTGCAGCAGCTTTTCCATATGAATTGCCTGTCCTGGCTCAGGCTTCAGACTTTCCTAAAATCTCTCAACAAGTAGCAGCTGGACTCAGCGAGTCCCATACCTCTTGATAAGTGGCCCAGGCCTGACATTAGCAGCAGCCTGTGTTGGATCACAGTTTGGCCTCTCCTGGGCACCTGGAGCCATCTGCAGATCACTCTGTTGCTTGTATGGGTAGTCCCAAGCAGGGCACAGGCAGTGATTGACTTTGCACCTCCCAGGAGTCCCCAGAGCCAGTGCAACTGGTGGACAGCTTCAGACCATGCCAGATTACAACTCTACACATCCATGAGTGACACACTCAAGGGGCAGACTTGAGCACCAAAGCCCCACTGAAGCAAGTCCTACTCCATAGGGGTGTCTTCTGCACAACAGCTCCTCTGCTGTTGGTCCTCACAGCCAATTGGCCTGGAGTCAATTCCTCCCAGTTATGCCAACAGCAATCAAGGTTCAACTACAAC